GAAATAAGTCGGTTAATGGCCGTAACCGTTCTGACGCGTGTGGAATGAAACGTCAGTAGAAGTTAGCTAAACCGAGAGATGCCTTCAGTTCCACTATTGCTCGTAGTTTGTCCTCACGAGGTAAACTCCCCTCTTGCTGAATGATGTGACCCAAGAATTTTATTTCCTTTTTGCTAAGATTACACCTGTCCGAGGTGAATATTATTCCATTATGTGAAAGGCGCTGGAAGTTTTAGGTGCTAATAATGTTCATCTAGGTTTGATGATAAGATTAGCAGGTCATCAGTATAGACTTGAACAAAATCCAATTCTTGTATTATGCTCTCAATAAACTTTTGGAAAGTCTAAGCAGCATTCCGTAATCCAAACGGCATCCATAATAACTCAAACTGATAGAAAGAAGTCGTGATAGCAGTTTCCTCGATATCCTCAAGAGTGACTGGAAGCTGATGATACACCCTAACCAGATCAATCTTAGAAAAAACGGTCTTCCCTCCAAGTGATGCCATGATGTCGTGTATATGAGTGATGGGGCAGCCGCGCGGTCTCCAGTTGCCCCATCCTTTTTGCAAACTATGTGGAGAGGTGAGGCCTAGGAACTGTGAGAAGGACGAATAATACCAGTAACTAGTAAACTGCCGAAAGCTAATCTGTCCGGTGCTAGTCGACGAGGTTTTGCCGTGACTGGTGCTCCGCGGGCGACGATGTGGTGCACCACATGGTTAGTCGCTGATGGAATTTCCTCGAGTGGTTGAATTGATTGAGGGAATCTCTCGAATAAAGCGTGGAACAAATCGTCAGGCATGGCTTGGAAGATGTCTGCTTGAGGCGAGTAGTTACAGCTTTACGTGATCGCAGCCTAGATCGGGAGACGTGAGGGTCCTGGGACTATAGAACGGTCACGGAATTCGGGACTGCTATGTTTACAGTAACCCCGATCCCTATAGCCTGGAAAGCGACTGACGTCAAGATCTATGTTCGAATGTGATGTTGAGGCAACCATATAGCTGTTTCGAGTACTAGTCCTCACTTATATTTTGTTTGCCATCACGGCAGCCTGGGTAATTGGCGTGTCCTCAAGCAAGGCCGTGATCATCGGCTATATATGGGCTGGTAAAGATTCAATTCACAATTCCTTAACTATTTTGGAATCAGTTGTCGGGGGTCCTCCTAAAGACCACAGGCCCGTGTTGTGGTGGCTCGGTATAGCATCAACCAGTGAGTGACAGGCTAATAAAGTCTTCAGTCGTTCCTCCTTTGGTGGGAGTAAATGTCTGAGGATCGCCTCTTTGAGACGATCTTAGACGACAGGATTGAGGACAGCCCCAAGGACAGCGGCTTTATGATCCCCAGGCTAAGGTTTCCAGAGAGTAGGCGTATTTTTGCCGCTTGTCCATAATGCGTTTGATCTCGAAGTGGGCCTTTAGTGCCGCGAACTAAATTTCTGGATTGTGTGTGATAAAATGAACAGGTTGGAAATCGACAAACTGTACCTCGAAGTCTATTTAATTATCACTATTCTTAAATATATAAGTGATTTCTAAAAGTTGTTGCAAGTATAACATATATTAAAAGGAATCAATATGAAATACGCAACAATTTATTTATAAAAAGTTGTGGATGGATGAATAATAGACTCCCTGTATTTGGCTTCTTTGGGCTATTCTCCAGCGGTTAAGGCATGTTCGAAGATTTCGTTCACTATATGTAATGGCGCCAGTAACAGTTGACTACTACAGGCCAATTACGTACCAGTTATCGGGATGAATGGTATTAGAAGGAAAACTGGAGATTGTTATTAACATATATTTGTTGGCGTTCTCGTAGTATCGAAATAATATGGGGATAGTGCGAAAGAATATGGTTGAGACTACCGTGCTTACTTGAGTAAGGTTAGGGTCAAAAACAACGAAAAATGTGGGTTTTCGGTGCACTTAAACAAAAAGGTACTGTAAAATGATCACTGTTACAGTTGGTAATAATTGTAGTGCCTCCACATATATTCCAGTTCGCTTACATCTAACTTGGTTAAGCCCTTTCTGTCAATATATTTAACCAAGCCATTCGCGTTGCAACAATTTATATGTACCATTCGTTCTTATTATTGTCTAGTTTGTATGAGCTCACAGGACGTGTTTCATTTGTCATTTGACCTTGTCAACCATTCGTCGCTTTTATTCATGTGTGCCTATTTCACTTATCTCATGTCTGTCTTATATTTGTCTGACTATATATTTTTATTCATGATCTATCTCTTGGAGCTAGCCCAACAGCCTTCTCCAATTCACGTCACTTCATTCGTTTTATTCACTGCTTCTCCGCTTCGCTTTGTGGTGTGTCCCAAATAAACGTATTCAACACTACGAGTTCGTCTTCTGATTTACAAACCGTCAGAAGCTAGTTAGTAACGATTGTCTGGACGAGCTAATTACCGAGCTTAAGAACACGCAGTAAATCGACACACTACAATAATAATAAATATTTATATTCAACCTATCTCGTTCTCTTCATAAACGTAGATCACTACATGTTCAGTGATACTTTGCTAAGCAACAGGTATTATAAAAGATGTATATAAGGGAAATATTAGTCATGATTATTGTGGAAGCGGTGCTGAATAAAATTTTTCTCATTGTTACAAAGCAGATACAAATGTCTTCTTGAGGTAATCAATGCTAATGATATCAACATTTTTCCATTCGGTAGTATTATGGAAGGAACTCGAAAAGTTCAACTAACCATTAACTGTTATCGTCAATACCGTTATTTTTACTAGATTCTGGAGCATTTTTTTTACTGGATGCCTTAATTCCAAATTGTCTGGTTGGAATGGTCAATTTTTCACAATTAGCTTATCAGATATGTTGTCGAGCTGAAACCGTTAGCTACTATTTACAAGGAAATCAACATTTTCCTTATTCACCAAAAATGTCTGTTCAATGGTCAAACATCAAATATAGAACCCTTTCGAGTTTAGGTGATCCTCATCTTATGTTTGACTTAACATCTCTTTGTCGAAAAGTTATGATTTATTCTTTAAAGACATTTATCATAGCACTGTTTAATTATTGTTATTTCATTCATTTTGTTGTGCAAATGCATCCTTTCTTTATCTGCCTTATTTTAACTAAATATCCACAGATTCTAAGGAAATTTTTTTCCGCTGGTGAATGTTCATGGTCTTTTCGCAATGACAATCAAGGTTTTAACAACTGATAATAATTTAATTGGAAAGAAAGCAATGTTTACTCATATATTTTTTTAGATTATTCACAAACTTGTTTTCTGAACATGCAAAATGTATTCCGATCTTCTGGTGTAGGACTTTTCAGAATAGTTCTGTTAGGATATGCATCCAATATCCTAAGAGAATTATTGGTCAATTCCTATCGGTTAATTCCTACTGGTCAATTTTATGGTCGTCTTGACTATCAATGTCACTTCAAATGTTGTTTCCTATTGCTAGTCATAACTGTCAATGTCACAGACTTCGATGCTGTTTCCTATTCGACCAAAATGTATAAATACGCATTATCTGTAACGTTTTATGACCAGGAACAGGACCAGGACCCGGTCCCGGATCCCTAGTCCGGGATCCTGACTCTCTTCTGGACTCAGACCTCGTACTTTCTGGATGCTTGTAGAATACAGGTTCTACTTCATATTAAGTCTTCTTTTATTTAATTGGGGTTGGGATAGTCGAATTTGAGTAGCATGTTGTGTCGCCGGCTCCTCGTTCTCATATTCCGACCAAGGAAAACTCGTAATACTTCAAGCACATCAAAATGACGTGTTACGTTGATACGTAACAAGTTCATATGTGTACGTAAAACGTTTCACCTTAAATTACATAAACTATTTACTACATAATTCAATGCCAGTAATTTATATTCCAAAAAGAGTTTGTTTAATTGATGTATACAGGTTCTTTGGAATTCGATCATCTCAGAATCTCAAACTTATTCAACAAAATAACAAAATTTTTCGGTGATCGTGATTTCAATGTTAAAAGTTTACAGAGGTAGACAAATCACTGTTTTCGAATTAGAATTTGACAAATAGGAATTATATACGTTGAAACTAGAAAAAACTATTCTCCTCTCTTTCAATAACCAAAAACAGATAATAAATTTACTGAACAAAATATCAATACATTCAAAATATCTTGAGTAATAACTTTTCTTATAATGGAATCTAAGATCTCGTAAGTCGGATTATATGAAGAAGCTTTATTCTTGGATCAGATCAGCTGTGGCATACATTGCAGTAACATGTCTACCAGAATTGAATAAGCCTTAATTGAGTGTCTCTCAGAAAAGTCTAACAACTGGTTTCTTCAGGAAATCTTAAGCTAAGAAAACAGAAAAAATCTCTTATAAATTTTCATCACATTACGTTGACTCTAGAAAAAAGTTATTTTTGAATTTTCTTGTGTCGAAACACAAATATTAGTTATCTATTGCTAATAGTAATAACAGTAGTATTTATTCACTGAAAAGAATTTTAAGCAAATCACTTATTATAAATAAGTATAATACTTATTTACTTTATTCTCCAATCTTACTTAATTCACCAATATCATATTGCTTTACTAAGCTTTATCGATTCTAACAAATAATTTGGTGTAGAAATTTATTGGTTTTCTTGGGATTCATTAAATTCTCCCATTTCAGGTCTAGCATCAGCAACAATATTCATATAGGTAATGTGAAATACAGGCAACATTATTTCTTATAGTAGTGTTAATAAATGTAGGCGTAGTTTGCTTTAATTTTAAGAATGGCTCATAGTTTGTCTACAAATCAGTTTTCATAAACATCTTTCCTTGTTGTGATTGTCCGATAACCGGAACCACTGTTAGCTGATTTTGTACCCTTTCCTTAATCTGTGATTGTATCACACGATACCTTTATGACTATTTTTCAACAAATGAAAACAAAGACATTTTACTAACCAATCAGAAACTTAATAAACCGATCGATACATAGTGGTAAATAAAGGGAAAATGCGAACCAGTTAAAAAGTCAAATTGAGAAAAATTTACTGACTTGAAACTTGGAAATAAGGAAATGATGAATACTACTGATATGAGAGGAGCGTTTGCTTTCTATGGAAGTATTCTAGCCCTTAAAACTCTGGTTCTTACAGGAGTTACATGTTTCAAGCGCTTCCAGAAGAAAGTAATTCTATCATTTCTCAATTTATTTATAAACTAATTTTTAGTCTTTGTCCAAAGACCAACCGCACCCTGAGGTACAAGCAATACAAAGGTAATTTTATATTTTATTTTACAATAACTGACCATTCAAGATGTCACTTAAATGATCTAGAGAATTTGGTACCATTTCTATTTCTTGGTCTACTGTACTGCAGTACAAACGCACCAACAACAGTTGGATTATGGCATTTTCGACTTTTCGCACTAGCTCGAATTCTACACACACCAGCTTATTTATTTACAGAAGGAATATTACCTAGAGGACCTATATTTCTTGTTGGATATCTTGTTAATGTTTCATTAGCACTAAAATGTATTACTTATTTTGCTGGAATATGGTAAACTGTAGTGATTAGTTGATTCATCTCAGGGAAATAAAGTATTTCGTTGCATTTTTTAAATAGTTTCCTTTTTTTAACAATAAGTTATTAATTTATTGGTTTTGTTTTTTAATTTTAAATTTTATTTTGCATTCCTAATTAATTATTTCATTTCACTGTATGATATATACATATTATAATCATTATTACTTGATATTATTCTACTTGAAATACTGTTGATTCTTCTAAGTAATACATTAATTTTCATTAAAATTGTTAACGTTTTGCACTTTATTTTATGAAACATGTGCAGCGACAGTGATTATTTGGTCAGAAATATGAGTAATTGAATAAAACACTGGTGATGATGTTCTAACTACTTATTAAGTTCATATAGAGTACACCATTCGAATGTGGCTTATTCAGTCATATGATCCCCTTTTTTTCAATCTAGCTTCATTTTAATCAGACTTGATAAAAAGGGGAAAAGAAAAATGACAGTATAGAGGATAACGCAATTTTTAATTCAGCACTCTAACACAGAGTTGAGATAAATTGAAAGCAACATAAAAAAAAATTAAGATTTGAAAGTAATATTTTGTTAATGAATGAACTAAGAAACTGAGAAGTAACACTATGAGAACACTATGATGAAAAAGCGTAGAAATACATCTCATTATCTGTAACGTCAGTTACCGGAATTATTGATGCTACAGTTGTTCATCTATTCAACCAGTTATATTTTCATTAAAATTACTAATTTACCTAAGTTAGACAACCATTGAACTGTTGGGAGCATTGGACAGCTGACATGTACTCACATGGGACTAATTTCGAGAGGGAATACCAGCGTAAGGCTTGTGGATGTACATTGCAGACGAGTACCATACTAGGAAGGAATGGCCTTCCAGTGCTTCCCCATTTTCAGTGATAGTTTAACTTAAATCAATTTGTGATAGTTTGATAAAATTCAACAATCTCCAAACCCCATTGTGACGGTTAGATTTTCAGTCATATGATCCTTTCTTTTTGGTGATTTAAAATTTTTTTATGATACATATAAATTATCCTCCAAAGTTAAGTTTGGGTTATATTGCATACAAAGTAAGTGATTAGTTGAATTTATGCTAAATATATACAAATTTTTCACAGACCATAAACAGGGTTCAAAATTTTTTCAACTTAGAATTCATAAAATTCAAGTTTACTTTAATTTTTGGGGAAGGTTAACCTTTCGGAACTATCCTACAGGAACTTATTGTTCATATGTAGCTGATAAACTTTTGGATTACTGTATTTTTTTAAAAATATTTTTTTCATACTGCGAACTTTAGGATGATGCCTAACGTTGTGTTATATGTTGAGCCTTCCATATGAATTTACTAATATCAGTCTACATGAATCTTTAAATATGAGTCTATTGCTTCATTTTCCTTCAATTAAGGTGCAGTCATGTACACACTGTAATTTACTTATTTCTTTGATATGCGTTACTGCATATTATCACACAAGTTTAGAGTTATGATGAATGAAGATATAATGGTAGCCTTGTCTCCTTGCTTTGTCCGAACTCTGACTTCTGATTAGGCTAGATAGTACATGCATGCTTGACCGTTGAGAATAAAAAAATATCAAAAAAATGCCTTACAAGGTTACTGTTATTAGTCCAAAAGTGTTTAATTTGATATAGGTTCTCGAATAATTATAATTCATTTCGGTTATAAGTATTCGACTGAAGAACATATTAGACAACACAAAGAAATAACCCTCATATTTTTCTGTAACGTTTAAAATGTGTTAAGTACAACTTATGTTTATCTGTCAATGAAGATGCTTAAGTGTAAATACTCATTACCATATAGGATATTCGTGCTTCCTTGATACTGCATATAGAAACCTTCAGCAATTCGAACTAGCTTCAGACGTAATGATTTTATGTCATTTAGCTACAGTATTCAGCATTTAAGGAAAACCCACATCCACACTGGTTTACTTGAAATTGTTCAGGGGTGTATTCTTATTTAAGTGATGGATGTGTCATTGTATCTCTTATTAATTATTTTCGATTTATTCTTGTAAGCATAATTATCCAGCTTTATCAATGTGCATTTATGTGTGTTTGCTTGTTATTGGATATGTAACTCTTTATTTGTTCATCTTCATTGTCTGCGTGACACAGGCGAATCGAGTCAACGAATAACAGATTACTTGATTTACCAATAAATTCAAGGAACACTTTGGTCATGGCTAGTTTGATTGCAAAATTCGTAGGCATAATGTAAATTCGTTCTGCGTTGTTAATAGGACTCTATGTATTGATTTAGGCTATGTGAACACGGTATTAAACAGCTGGAGGTAGGCAAGCAACTCGCAGTTCTCAAAATTATTTAAAGTAAGCTGACAGAATTATTCCGATTGAACACTTAATGTTTTAGTTTTCTCCGCTTCCAGACATTCATCATAATGACAAAAAAACCATAAATATTATTCAACTGTCTGTTTCTTAGATTTAACTGGGAAATTCACTTCATAAGACTTTGGACCTAAATTCAACTTTTGAAGTGAAATATTTCACCGGCATAGTTACGAATTACACAAAAAATACGACAAATAGAGGTGATTATTTGTGTACAGATTGATATGAAAGAGCTGGTTGGAAGAAAATCGTGAATTTATCGATTGCCTAATAGGCGTACGACGTAAGGATGAACGGAGAAAACCAAATATTTGAATATGAGTATTCAGTGAAAAGATACAGTAGATACCTATATTTGGACTTTAAAAAGTCAGTTTTACTGACCTTTAAGATCAGTCTGAATTATCTGTTGCTACTAATGCTTATATTACTGAGGTATTAAGATGGACTTGCGGTCAAATTGTTTGTGTAATTACAAGTAGCTACTTAATAACTTACAAGTAGTAAAGATAATAAAAGTGTTTGTCCAATCCATCAGTCTTTGACTGAGTTTCACACATGAAGCTTGATTTTTAAGGGCTATTGATGCGAGATTATTCATGTGAAAATTAAACATAAAATCTTGATTCTTCAAAATCTTTAAGTTTAGAAAAATTATATTCGCTATCTATGATATGTCAAAACGTGATTAGTTACTCTTTCTTTACAATGATATTCAGAGAGTCCAACATGAAAATAGTAATTAAAAGTAAAGATAGTCCTCATAAATGAGCTGGAAGTTGCACACAAATCCATACCCTATAACTGTTCGTGATAAATTTTTATTAATCCGGAAAGTTTTTTATCTAGTTTGAGTTGTTTCTTTGACTAGTTTGTTGTTGTAAATCCTACCGAAAATCCAGGTTTCAAGAGTAATTCAATTTGATTCAAACAAATAAAAAAGATTGCGCTGAGATAAGAAGAGTAATAATCGGTCGTCTACTCAAATACTTCACCGGTTAGAAATGAGATATCTGTATTCATAACGTGTTCGAAGTTGAGTGTTTACAACAGTTAAGAAGAACCTAGGAAGAATTTGATTTTCAAGTACTTTGAATATTACAGTGTCAAATTATCTGGCTTATAATTATGAATATGTCTTTTGTTAAATTGGTTCGGCCAGAAAGCTGTATTTTTCATGGAAGTGTGACAAAGTGCTAAGTCAGTCAGTCAGTTGCAACGAAGAATTTCGTACGTACGTAAGCTACTGAGATCCACGGCTTCTTCCTAACCATATGGTTTACCTTACAAACAGATATCACTGCTGTCTCCACAGCTTTTTGAATACCTAAATATGTGCTGCAGAACGAGTGACAGTCTTCTATCGAACCCTTTCATTGGTGAGTGATAGTGTTGTTATCTAGTTGTGTCCGATGTTGGGACGGATTTGGGGGTCGCCGGGTCAAAAGATGTTTTTCATTATGCTTAAAGTTAGTGTTTGCTAGAAAAAGTTGGTTGTGTGAGCACTGTTACAGCAGATGATCACTATTATCTGCTCGGTCAGCCGTGACACCATAAGATCCACCCAGGTGTCTCTCCTGCTCACTTAGTCTACCTACTTGAGCATTAAAGTCACCGGCCGCTGTCACTATATCCGAGCGCTTAACATTCTGGAAGAGGTCCGAAAGCTTTCAGTAAAACTCATCTTTCACCTCGTCTGAACTGTAGTCAGTGGGAGCTCAGGCAGATACAACGAAGAGGCAACGGCGAGTGTCCCTATCTTTACGAGTCGGACAGCGCACAATCGACTATCTACTGGGATTCAGCCCACAAGAGCTAGTTCTGCACTAGGGCTCAGTTCTATGCCTGTACCAGCGAGGCCACGGGAAGCAGCATCAGGGCTTCCAGATAAACGGAGAGCAAACCGAGCTGCATTTGTATATGGACATAGTGAAGTCAAGTGAATGACGCTATCCGGATCCTGTATGCACGCGAGATTCTAATGTCCTAGCTAATGAAGCCTGTTGCCCCATTTGACACAATTTCTGTACATTAAAAGCTCCAACATGTAGTCTAGAACGGGGTGTCAGGAGACCAAGAATAACTTTTCGTGAATTCGCATCGTTTGCATTAGCAGTACGGGTCGATAAAGAAATGTGAGTAGAGTTAGTCGTGGAGATAAGAGAGATATTTGGGTTTGTAGGAAGGATTTGATTTTGAACAATTTGGTCTCGCGTGCTGTTACGAGTATGAGGGCGGTTGTCACTTGCCGGCTGCCCACACCGTGGAAGGTTGTTTCTTGAGGGACCTGAAAAGGAAGGTAGACTAGTGTTGGTCTTGGAGACCTGGGAGCGTGACTGCAGAGCCCAAGGGACAACTGCTTGTGGCCGGTCATGCATGTCTTTTCTTTGGAGAGTTTTTAAAGTGTTAGCTTTGCTCTTATTTAAAAGGCCTTACCACTGAAGACGGGAATCCATGAGATAGGGTGAGGTGTAACATTTTTAGGGTCGACCTTTCCTGACCCGTCTTTTCCTTGTGAGAAGGCAGCATCGCTGCAGATGCTGATTGTCCGAGGGAAACACCTTACTGCTGTCACACCCCTCTGCAGTCAGCAGTACGACTTCGCCCTCAGACCTTGAGTAGCTGCTTTTAGTCTCATCGTTCTCCAATCGACCTGCTTAGCATGTTAGAACCTTCAGGAACATGTGTTCCAGCCAATATATCTCGGTTGGGTCATCACGATAGTCAAGCCTGACCACCAGCAGCTACGGTCAGGGACAAAGTAATAAATCAACTTTAATTAATTAATACATTTTACATCTAAGATGTCTATATATGTATATAATTACATTTACTAATACACTGAAGACAATCATTGATAGGATTATCCCATTTAACTGTGAATGGAGTCAAAGAATCTTC